GAAATGGGGGAGCTCCGGGGACAGTCCCACGCCCGGGGGCAAGAAACAGTGGGGCTGGCGGCAGGGCCAGGGGCGCTGCGAGGGGGTGTGTCGCGGGGGGGATTCGGGGCAGGAGCCGCTGAGAGCGAACGGGGCTGGGGGCAGACTCAGGACTGGGGGCAGGCAGGAGGGAAGCGCTGGCTGCCGGGCTGGGTGGGGAGCCAGGGCAGGGAGCCCTCACCTTCATGGAGCTGCCCAGAGGCAGGTGTCAGGTCAGCCCAGAGGGCGAGGAGCCCCAGGAGGAGGTGGCCTGATTTCATGGTGCTGCGGGGCCAGGTTGCCCAGCACCGAGCTACCCCAGCTTATATAGCATCATGCCAGCCCGGCACTGCCGTCCCGGGAGGGGCCATTGCACAAGAGAGCCGCCCCCGGTGTCTGCCCCTCCCAAAGGGAACAGGGAAGCAGCAGGGCCTTGCGAAAGTTGGGAAATGTAATAACAGGCTGCAGAAGTGAGTTCATGTTTCCAGGTGTCACAGAGTTTGGGGGAAACACGGCCCTGCACCTCCGGCTTCCTGCGCTTCACCGTGACTCTCAGCCAGCCAGTAACACAAAAGGTTTATTTAGATGACAGGAGCACAGTCCAAATCAGGTCTTACAGGTACAGACAACTAGACCCTCTGGAAAGGCTCCTCTATGCTGGGCAAGGGTCCTAAAGCCGTTTTCCCCTTGTCCCGGGCCTTCCTCCCCCTCTGACAGGGGTCACAGGATCGGCAGTACTGTCGGACAGTAACCAAGGCTTGGTCTACACTAAACCCCCAAATCGAACTAAGGTACGCAACTTCAGCTACGTGAATAACGTAGCTGAAGTCGACGTACCTTAGTTCGAACTTACCGCGGTCCACACCCGTCAGGCAGGCTCCCCCGTCGACTCCGCGTGCTCCTCGTGGCGAGCAGGATTACCGGAGTCGACGGGGAGCACTTCTGAGTTCGATTTATCGCGTCCAGACTAGACGCGATAAATCGAACCCAGAAGTTCGATTGCCGGCCGCCGAACCAGCGGGTAAGTATAGACAAGCCCAAAGACCCCAGGCCAGTAAAAGCTCCGTAGCAGCCTCTGCTGGGTACGCCAGGTTCCCTGGTGCCCTGAGAGGGGAATGTCATGGGCCCGGCACAGCAGCTGGCGGCGATACTTCTGGGGTACCACCAGCTGCCTCCTGATCCCCGCTGACTCCATTTTCCCTGGGGGAGCCCATTCTCGGTACAGGAACCCCTTCTCCCACAGGAACCTTTTCCGGCCACCTCGTCCCATGGTCTGTACCGTACTGAGGTCGGCCAGGTCCCTTATCTTCCGCAAGGAGGGATCTCTCTGCACCTCGGCCTGGAACTCAGCAGCTGAGGAAGGGCTGGGGAGCAGCTCCCTCTCGCTGGCTGGGTCTGAGGCCGCAGCCCCTCTGAGCTGTGTCCCTCAGTGCCCCCTCCCCTCCGGGGTAGGGCCCTGCGCCTCAGGCAAGGCACCCTCCCTGTTGTCAGGGCGCCGTGCCCCTCGCCAGCTCTGGCTACGGGTCACAACCAGGGCACCCTGGGGGTTGCTTGGCCAGTCCTCCAGGTCCCCCCTCCATTAACATCTCAGTGGGCAAATGGTGGTGCACCCCCACTTCCTTGGCCCTCCTTTGCCCCCCATTTCAGGTGTCCCTCACCACGGGCACCTTGAATGGGGTCCCACCCACCCCCATCAGGGTCAGGTAGGTGTTGGGCATCACCTGATCTGGAGCTACCACCTCGGGCCAGGCCAGCGTCACCTCAGCGCCCGTATCCCAGTATCCATTGACCTTCCTCCCATCCACCTCCAGGGGAACAAGGCACTCGCTCCGCAGGGACAGCCCCACGCCCACCCTGTAAATGGAGAACCTTGAGTCTGGGGCATCCAGCCCCCCAGAGGAGCTGGCCTGGGGCCCTCCCCCCTCCTGAGCAGTTGATAAGCTGTCAGCCCCCCTTGCCTGGGAAGCCTGCCCCTCATCCGGCTGGGTCTTTATCCAGTTAACCCTGTGTGGGTTCGGTCTGCTCAGTCTGTCCCTGAGCCTGGGGCACTGGGTCCGTATGTGGCCGCTCTGGGCACAGTGATAGCAGCCCATGTCCTGTTGGTCCCCTCGAGCTGGTTGGTTGGCCCTGAAGCCGGATGTTCCCCTTGGGAAGGGATTCTCCATATTCCCCCTTTGGGAGGTTCCAGGGTGACTCTCTCGCTGCATCGTGGCAGGCCTGTTCCTTTGGGACTCCTCCCTGTCTCCCTCTGACCGGCTCTTCACAAACTCATCGGCCAGCCGCCCGGCGTGTCGCGGGTTCTCTGGCTTTTTGTCCATCAACCACAGCCTCAGGTCGGATGGGCACCACTCATACAGTTGCTCTAGTACGATCAATTTAACCAGGTCCTCCTTTGTCTGGGCCCCATCTGCCCACTTGCTGGCGTATCCCTCCATGCAGATGGCTAGTTGCAAATATTCGACCTCAGGGGTTTTATCCTGACTCTGGAACTTCTCCCGGTACATCTCAGGAGTCAGCCCAAACTCACATAGCAGGGCCTTTTTGAATAATTCATAGTCCCCTTTCTCCGCCCCTTCCAGTCGGCGGTACAATGCCACAGCTTTGGGGTCCAGTAAGGGGGTGAGAACCCGGAGCCTGTCCACAGGATCAACCTGGAGCAGCTCGCAGGACGTCTCAAAGGCATCCAGGAAGTCATCCATGTCCTCCCCGTCCTTACGTGGGGCCAGGATGCACTCATCAAAGCTCCGTGCAGTCCTGGGTCCCCCCTCACTCACCGCAGCCGGGGGCTCGCTGCCCCTCAGCCTCACCAGCTCCAGTTCATGCTGACGCTGTTTCTCCTCATGCTGTCTCTGTTTCTCTTTCTCCTCCAGCTCATGCTGCCTCTGTCTCTCTCGTTCTTCCCGCTCCTCCTTTAGTTCCTGCTGCCTCAACTCAAGCTCTTTTAGTTTTATCTCCTTCTCCCCTTCCAGCCGCCTCAGATCCAGCGATGGGGAGCTCTGCTGGGAGGATCCGCTGCTGGCCGGGGGGGTCACAGTGCCCTCAGTATTCGCTGGGCTTCTCCCCGCCCTTCCCCTAGGCATAGGAAGGAGGGGTCTCGGGAAGCCCTCAGCAGCCAACTGACCACTCCCCTCTGGGACAGACACTGGGGCCCGCGCTGCATCTGCCAGGCTGCTTCCCTCAGAGACAGGGATCAGTTCATTCGCGCGATCTCCCTCCTCCAGCCGGGCAATGAGCTGTTCTTTGGTGAGCCTCCCACTGTGCAGCCCCCTCTGCCTGCACAGCTCCACCAGGTCACTCTTAAGCCGCTTGGCATACATCTTCCTGCTGGCCACTCACCGGCCTGTGTGCTCACAGCTCCCCACAGTTCCCAGGGAGACCCCTAGTGTGCCAGCCCTTCTCGAGGTCATCACCTCTCTCCCCTGAAACCGTCCCTCTCTGAGCCTTCAGCATGCCTGGTCCCTGTCAATCCCCCTTCGTTTTACTGCTCCCCAGTCACTTACTGCATGAGCACCACGGGGGTGCAGTAGATCCCACCGCTACCACCAGTTGTCACGGAGTTTGGGGGAGACCAGGCCCTGCACCCCTCTTCCTGCAATTCACCATGACTCTCAGCCAGCCAGTAAAGCAGAAGGTTTATTTAGACAACAGGAACACAGTCCAAGGCAGGTCTTGCAGGTACAGACAACAGGGCCCCCTCAGTTAGGTCCATCTTGGGGGCGGGGCAGGGAGGCCAGAGCCCCGTTGGGAGGCCAGAGCCCCATCTGGGCTCCCCTCCATTTCCTCAGCCAGCTCCAAACTGAAACTCCCTCCAGCCGTCTCCCTCACCCCCTCCCCACCCCGGCTCCTCCCCCAGCCTTTGTCCAGTTTCCCGGGCAGAGGTGTCACCTGGTGTGACGAACTGGGACTGTTCTTAATGTGGTCTTTGAATGCTGAGTGGGGAGTGTTGGCTGGGAAGGCAGGGGAGTGTGGCTAGGACGGTCTGCACGGGGGGATGGGAGACTGGCCTTGAGGGAGAATACCTGAGCATGTAATGTGAGAACCCAGGAAGGGGTTAGAGGCCAGGTGACACTTTTGCCTGGGAAACCGAACAAAGACTGGGGAAGGAGACGCTGCGGGAGAGAAGAGCTTTTTCAGGAGCTGGCTGGTGAAATGGCTGGGAGGCAGACGGGACTCTGACCTCCCAAGGGGGCTGTGGTGCCCTGGGACCCCAAGATGCACTTAATTGGGGGGGGTCCTGTTGTCTGTGCCTGCAAGACCTGTCTTGGACTGTATTCCTGTCGTCTAAATAAACGTTCTGCTTTACTGGCTGGCTGAGAGTCATGGTGAATCGCAAGAAGCCGGGGGTGCAGGGCCTTGTGTCCCCCCACACTCCGTGACACCTGGCCTCCAACCCCCCTCCTGGATTCTCATGTTACATGCTCAGGTATCCTCCCTCAGGGAAAGTCTCCCACCTCCAATGCAGACAGTCCCAGCAAAACTCCCCTGCAACCTTCCCAGGCCAATACTCCCCACTCGGTATTCAAAGAGAATATTATGAACATTCCCACTTCATCACACCAGGCGGCTCCACACCTCGGCTGCCGCACCGGGACAAACAGCTGAGCCCAGAGCCACTGATCACTGGGCTGCCCTGGAGCGAACCTCTCGTGAAGCCCACCCAGTGTTGGCCCCGGGAGCTGTGCGGGACGGGACCTCTCAGCTCACGGCAAAGAGCTGGTTCCCCAGAGCCAGATCTGTCATTCTCCCAACATGCCTCCAGCCCTCCCTCTTCCCTTTGCTGCTTCCCGTGAGGAGCTGCTGGGCCCAGGCCTGTCACGCTGTAATTCCTAACGCTGGCCCACCGGCCTGGCAGCTCCCCATGGCCCAGAAAGCAGCACTCATGCGCCCGCTCCTCCCCAGAGCTGGCTGCAGGGACAGCTCCAGAACCGAACCCTGCCCCTCGCACGCTGCCCCCGTGGGCTGGGGGCTAAGGGAGGGGTCGGTACGTCCTTCTCGCTCTCCCCCCCCGGGTCTCTGACACTCCTTCGGGGGGCAGGGATAAGGCACCCCCCCAAAGGCCTGGGCTATCCGTTTGTGTGTCGTGTGCTCTGGATCCCGCCCCGTCCATCTCTATTCCTCCGCCTTGCCCCGCCCCACGGGTTCCCTCAGCTGATGTCTAACGATGGGGGCTGAATGTCTCTGCGGTGCTGACCCTTGTCTCTAGGACATGGCTGGAGAAGGGTGCGTGGGGAGGGAAAGAACCCAGATACACACACATCCCATTGGGGTGTGATGTCTCTGATATGAGCAGCGCATGCATGCCAAGCAGGGGAAGGGCCTGGGG